ATAGTCAATTAGTGCGATATTACAAACACGTGTCGTGTGTTTTAGTATTCTACGGCCCACGAGAGAGTACTTCTGGGCGGCGGCTCAAACGCGTCCGTTCTCGCGCATTCCCACCACAAAACCTTCACATACACCGGCGCCGGCGCCGCCTATCTCGTCTACGAACGGCGCTGCCGACCATGAAACGGTGACAGTGTTTGTATACAGCGCGTATCGAGTGTTTCCGTTATTTTCCGTATTTGCTGATACAAACACAAAATTTGCGTTTTTGTGTGTACACAGTTTTTTCAGATTTTTGCGTGGTTAAGTAGTATTTTTTTTTATACTGAACTACAGAATCTGATATGGACGCCGTAGATATCTCTCCTGTCAAAAAAAATGCATGCGGAAAAGTAAGTGGTTGCATACGATATTTCTATTGCACATTTTTAATTTTTAAATGTACCTATTGTTTTTTTGTTTAGTTTATTACCACTGGTCAAAAGAAAATCGTTATCAATGTGTATAAGTACAAACTCAACCAACAGCTTGAAAATCCAGGGATGAACAAATTGTCTTTCAGACAAATGATCGTCGAAATTTCAAAAATGACCGGTATTGGGCAACGTACGGTACAAAACACATTGGCCGAGTACAGGAAAGATGGTGTTGTGACATCGCCCAACAAAAAAAAAGGTGAGACCTACAATTATTGAAAAAGTAGACGAATTCGATAAAAATGCCATAAGACAAAAAATTCACAATTTTTTGGAGGAACCGTCAGATACCCACTGTTGCGAAAATGTTAGTTGCCATTAATGAAGATGATTCATTACCAAGCCTTAGTCGAACGTCTTTCCAAAGAATATTAAAAGATTTGGAATTTGAATATGTTAAAAAAAAATCGGAACAGTGCTCTTCTCGAAAGAGAAGATCTAGTAACTTGGCGCCGAAGTTATTTAGATAAAATAAGGCATTACCGAGCACAGAACAGGCCAATATATTACCTGGACGAGACTTGGGTCAATGCAGGTGAGACGCATAACAAGGCATGGCTCGATACTACGGTCAAGTCATCACGCGATGCATTCCTCAATGGCCTCACCACAGGACAAAAGCAACCCTCCGGAAAAGGTAAGCGCCTCATTGTACTGCACATCGGATCAACAGATGGTTTTGTTCCGGGGGGGCTTTTGTGTTTTGAATCCAAAACCAATTCGTCTGATTATCACGATGAAATGAATGGTGATACATTTTTTGAATGGTTCGTTAAAACCCTGCCGTTGCTGAAGGAGAACGCGGTAATTGTTATGGACAATGCCTCATACCATTCCGTGAAGAAGCACAAAATTCCGGTTATGTCTTGGAAAAAACAAGCCATTATAGATTGGCTTGAAAGCAAAGGTGAGGTCGTTAAACATCCTATTGTAAAAAATGATTTGATGAAAAAAGTCCGAAAAATTAGTAACCAGTACGACCAATACGTAATTGACGAGTACGCAAAAGAAAATAATAACCTCGTATTGCGATTACCACCATACCACTGCGAGCTAAATCCAATTGAGCTCGCGTGGTCGTCTGTCAAAAGTTATGTTCGGACGCATAACAACACTTTTAAACTAAATGACGTACTGGAGTTATTAAAAAAAGGTGTGGACCACGTCACTCCGGAAATGTGGACCAACTTTGTTGGACATGTGATCAAAGAAGAAGACAAATTTTGGAACATCGAGCATACAACTGACGAATTAATAGACAATGAACTGGGAGAAGGAGGAAGTCACGTTCTATTGATAGGAACAGGTGATTCATCAAATTTTGACGATTCAGATGATGACTGATTTATTTATTTGTATTTTAATTATTTTGATTTTTTTCGTTATCTTTTTTTTTTTTAAATTTTTTTTTATTATAATTTTTTTTTACTAAATTAATATTATAATTAAGTGTATTATCTTATGTACAATTCTTCATTTTTGTTGGTATACATAAATAAAATTTGTATAAATAAAAGATTGATATTACATTTATATTATTTGCATTGTTATTGTATACATAATATGGTGTGCCAGTCGCTATAAAAAAATAGGTGTTTTTTTCGTAATGTATTACTTGAGCCGGTGTATACAAACCACCGGTTGCTGCTCGGCGGCCGCGGCTGTGATATTATACTTATAATTATTGTCACCAGTCGCGCTTTGGCGGCGACTACGTGTTAGAGTGGGAGAAAATCGGGTCCGATACCGCGGAGCTAATCAGTTGGGATGCGCGAACGAGAAGTACTCTCTCGTGGGCCGCAGTATAGTGGACAAACGGAGTGTATTAATTCATTACGAACCGCGTATTTAT